GCAGGATCAGGCTCCCAAGTATGATCAGTGAATAATCAGATATGGACCAAGCTAGCTGCTCTTCTACTGGCATTAAAGTGTGAAACTGGCCACTTAGCATAAGGCAGAGTCAATGGAGCGTCACTGCGGGGGTTTTTCCCTTAAATTAATCCAAAGAACAAAGAGCACTTAGGGAAGATTGTAAATGTTTCCTAATGTTTAATAAACACATGATTTCAGTTGTACATTTTCACCCTTGGGTGAGAAAGTGGCAGATTTTACCTGTGAGTCACAACAGATATGTGGTAGCTTTCCACCAAGTGGGGTTCGTTAATATGTATTTGAATCCTACAACACCATTCAGCTCTGAGGGAAAAGTACACCAGAATTGTTTTGGATTATACTAATTTTAGCAAAGCATCTCATTTATATATTAAGCTTGCTTAATAGTCTTACATTGCCTTGCTCTTTGATCTGAAGCAAAAGGTGGTGAATAGTTTATCTAATGAGGTTAAAAAAACCCACGTCACAATCTGCCCTGTAATTTACATTTCTAAGAGGTGCCATTATGGGACTGGAGAATGGGTTCCAAAAGATTAGTTCCAATGTTACAAATTTCTTTTCACGAGATACACACAGGGGAAAAAATAATAATAATAAAGGAATGCAATTCTGCAGACAAATGTTTCAGCTCCATGCCTTCTTCACTAAAGACAATCATTTCAACTAAATGCCAAAAGGCATTTAGCTGTAACATTTGTCAGCAGAACAGGGCTGGCTTTAAGTTTCCCTCCTGATTTACAATTGAGTGTTTTTATTAGATTTACTGTACTGCAACATGTTTTGTTAACCTCTAAGAAATAAGCCAGCCTGTACATTAATCATTCGGATTGATATTCATCCTCATGCACAGGGCCAGCACAAGGTCCTCTGCATTACTTAAGCAACGCAGTGCAGACAGGAGTAGGATGTTTGCGGAATGGCTGCTTACGGATACTTGTGGGGAAGAAAAATGCTCTTGTGCTTAAGGCGTTGGACTGGACTAAGGAGACTAAGGGTTCAATTTCTGGCTTTGTAATAGACCTTGTCTACATTGGCAGTGATGTGTAGAGTATGTATAGCTATACGCCACAGCGCTAGATGAACCGCTACACTGATCTGTTGGCCAAGTACCTCCGCCACAGGTGAGGAATGCAGTTCTCAGCCCGGCGGAGCCGCTTGGCCAGGCTGTGAGCAATGAGCGTGTATTTCAGGGGAAGACGCTGCGCTATGCAGCACAGCTGTTTAAAGCCTAATTATTTGGGCTTTTCGTACCACTCTTGTGGGTTTCATAGAGTGGGTTCATTAATATCCACTACAGTCATTCCTCAATAATCCCTACTCTCGGTAACAATAGGGAGTGTTGGCAATCACAGCTTTATCACGACTTTTGACAAGTCTCCCATTCATATTTCCCCTCTCCCCCATTTGTCCAAAGCAATGAGTTGTAAATATTTACAGTAGATGCACATAGGGTTTATTCATATTCAAATAAAGCCATTATCCTGGCCTGGAGTTTTGGTAGTTTTCTACTCTTCCTCTAGAGTATTTCTCTCCATAGTGCCATCTAATCAGGTTTAGGTTTTAATTAAACAGCTGTCATTTGCTTCCTAGTTCTGTTGCGACCTGATGTTGTATTAAATTTTAATTTAGCCTAGGCTGGATAAGAAGTAGATTCCTTCAGACAACAAAGAAACACTATTAGCAGGTTACAGTTGTAATTAAGAAAAGCTCTGCTGAAGTGCTAATGCATTCAGGTACAGAGAAGGAATTAGAGATAAACACTTATATAATTATTATTCAGGGACAGAGCAGGCAATATGAATATGCAGCTCCCACCTGAGTTAATAGAATTCCATTTTTGTACGCCATCTATCCTTTTTTTAAAAAAGCCTGACTACAGAAGCCAGACTAGGGTATTTACTATTTTACATCTGGGACGTTTTAGTCTCTGTGGTTAAGATCCTCAGCTGGTGAAACTTGGCATAGTATCATCAACTTCAGGGGAGTTCTGCCAATTTATGCCAGCTGACCTGTAAATCAGTGTTATTACCCTTCTGTAGATTTCAGGCACTGTCAGTAATAACCACTATAGACATGTTAAATTCAGGAAATGGTTTGTCTCTAACGAGCCCTACTACAGAGATATAGAAGATACCTACTTGAGTCTTGCTGAAATGTTGTTACTTGTCAAAGATCCATTTTAAAAATATAACATATATATCTATATCTTATGGACAGGCAATTAGTTCAGTTCAGACTTCACACTCTTTCTCACAGAGGAAATATATGATTGGAGTCTGAAAATAGTTAGCTCGGAAAAAGGTCTTAAGACAGTCTACTCTAGTTGCATAACACTGGATCTAAGCATTTGAGATATTGATTTTATATCATAACTTTTCCTCCCAGTGAAGTTTATTTTTGTGATGCAGCAACCGCTAATTAGCACGGCGAGTTTCTCAACATGCTGAGAGGAGCACAGGGCAACACTTTATGTCAAGATCAAGCTAAAAGTATTTCAGAACATCCAAAAATAAACAGGCTAGTGATGTGTCAATTCTTAGACCTATTCTCTTGTCCTCAGCTTCCCAGTTCAAATGAAGTGTACAAAAGGAATAGAAATCCTTTTGTAATCTTTGCATTGACCTTCAGCAGTGCCAAAGATGATGTCAATGTAGCCGCTAATCACCAATTGTTTTTTAAAATGAAGCTCATTGGGCCCAATTCTCCTCTTGCTTACACTGGTGTAAAGCAGGAACAACTCCTGGTTACTGGTATAATAACTGGTGCAAAACTGACATACGTGAGATCAGCCAGGCCTATTAAAGCCTGCGAAGTCAATGGGAGTCTTTCCATTAACTTCAATGGGCTTTGGATCAGGCCCTGAGTGGAGAGTTATGTGGTTCATATTCCCCTCCCCACCGGAAAGAGTTCTCAAAAGTAGGATTATTCAGCTGTACTTGTGAATTATGTCCCTTGTGGGACTTATTTTTCTACCTGATCCTTTGAAGAAAAAAGCCCTCTATGGAAGAATGGCTTGGAAAATGGCATTGTGATAAAATGGTCCAGGTGAAATGCAACTTATCACAGGGGCATCACCTCTCCATCATGTATGTGTCATATGATATATTATATCTATACACACAGGCATATTACTGTGTATGTATATGCGTGTGTATATATGTCTGACTGTATATGATTTGCAGGTTGCTCACCAATGGTTTTGGCATGGATGAAGCAGCCCGAATTTGACCCTATATGTCTTCTGCAATCTAAATTTTTTTCCCCCCAAGGTGATACATTTTGGTTCTCAGTCTTGCTCGATCTATAGTCCTTGTAAGGACTTGGCGGGGTTTTTGTTTTTTTCACTTCTGCTTCTGTCATCTATTTCTTTTACCCATGCTGTCCCTCCCTACTGGATGACAGCTGGTTATAAATGAGACTGATCAACATAAATGAACATTAAAGAGTCATTTACTGCACAAAACATCTGGTTTATGCCTTACCTAATGTAGAACAAAGAATGTATATTTATTTCTTGAGGCCTTATTCAGGACAGCACTTAAGCATATGCTTAAATCCCTTTGAAGTAAAAGCTTTGAGTTAAGCACATGCCTTAATACTGTTCCAAATACAAATGGACTCAAGCACGCGCTTACATGCTTTTTTGGAACCTGATTGATGGCAAAGCACTAGTATACTTTGTTAGTTAGCTAGCACTGGTGTTTAGTACTTCATTTAGTTCAAGCTACGTTTTGTAAAAGTTGCCCAATATTAATATTATAGCTTAGTTGCAAGTACTTATTGGTCATCTTCTGATGTCTGTAGCTTGTGGTGTACTCCCATTGTTTCCTGTTAATTTAGCTAGCAGACAGAAGGAAATGATAGTGAATATACCTCACTGCCTATGCAAGACAGTGTCAGATTTCTCACTGAAATCCAGTTCTGTTTCCACCCAGGCTAATTATGGACTTTAAAGTTGGATTAGTTGGAAAGCTACTTTTGGCCCCCCCAGTTGATAAACAAGAAATGATTTTATGGAAGTGATAAATAAAAAGCGAATGGATTTAAATCAATAAAAAAACTCAACCGCATGGTGCTTCTAGAAACCAGAGACTGAACCCACACAAGCATTGGTCGTGCAGTGCAGCATGATGGTCAGGCTCTGGTTGCAAGCGTTTCTTATTTGTAAACCACACCGAGCCTGTTGTGTACAGTACCTTTGGAGGTTCTACTCCTCCATTCTGCACAGCCACCTACGCAAGCGGGGGACCACAGTAACAGCTCATTTGGGGTAATTAATCATGCTGCATCCACGCCAAGGTGTAGATGAAGGCTGTGTTAATGGAGTCATTAGCGTGCCGGCTCTGTGAATCCATCACAGGAGAAGATAAATATGGCTTGATGGCCAGTAAAATGTCTCCAGGTGGGATTTTGATGGGGAAAGATTTTAAAATTTGCATTTGGCATTCTGTTGTTTTTAGCGCCACATCTCTTTCTAATGTGACATGAAAATGAAGGTTTCACTCAAGCCTCCAAAGAAGGAAACCACTTAATAGGCACATCTTTTAAGGAGAATTTGGGAAGCAATGGGAAGGAGGTGGGAATCCTTTTATCATAACACTTGGTGTCCATATCTACAACCACTGACATAACTTGGGAGGTAGGGAAGGAAAGATTTGTGTAGCTCCATAAAGATTGTGACATATGACCCTGTCTTCTGTAAAGCATTAAGAAGAAGGCAAAACAAACCTGATTTATTGCATCATGCTGGCAATATCTCCTGGTGTATTTATAATTTGCTATTTTGTATTAGCAAATTACTTTAGCAGTGCACCTAATTTTTAAAATTGCAAGTCAAGGATGAAGGTCAATAAGCATCGTGACTAATTTCCAAGAACACTGGAAATGTCTACATTGTGCCCGGTGGTCATGCTTATTTAACGTGCATCCCCTTTTTGTGCATGTGTGTGTATGTGCAGGATACAGAAGTCCTTAACACGGCCATTCTGACAGGGAAGACGGTATCTGTTCCGGTGAAAGTTGTTGCTGTGCACGAGGATGGTTCCGTGATCGACGTTTCAGAGTCCATTGAATGTAAATCAGCTGATGAAGATGTCATAAAGGTAAGGGGGCTAAACTAAGGTGTGCAAGGTGGAGAGATGGAGCTTCCCCTTTCTGCCCCCCCTCATTGTGCCCCTGAACAGAAGCCAACCACGATCCCTGCCCTTGTGCTCTCTGTGGCAATTCAGGCCCCCAACTTTGCAGTCATGGAGTCCCCCCAGGAATGATCCAGTGTCAGTGTTCAAAAGGGCATTGGATTTCTGGAGGTTGTGCAGGGATAGCCTGCTCCTTCTGTATTGTGGAACTCAGCGATGCAGGTGCTGTCTATGTGCCTAGCAGAGAGGACGGTGTGAATCCCTGGATTGGACAGTCTGAATGCATGAACACGGAAAGTGCAGGGCCCTCAATGATGCTAAACCAACCAAAGGGGGGAGAATGGAATCATGACCCTGCCTCATTTTTTGCTGGCTAGCAGATCAATGCTGCTGAGGGGGAAGCACATGCTGTCTGGTGTTATACTTGGGAAGAATCAAGCCATCATTCAGGGACCCTGGTTGCCATGCAGCCCTTCTGCACCCATTATTACATAAATAGTAAGAGTTGCTAGGATTGGTATATTGCCAGGTTGCTAATACACTCCTGACCTTTTTGACCTTGTTTTTCCAGTCCAGAGCTTCTCATAAGAAAGACATTGCACTCTACCAAATTCTGAGGTGGCTTTGTGATGTGTATAAGAGTGACAAAATTAGACCAAGAGTGAAATACTGGTACTATTGAAGTCAATGGCAACATTCCAGTTGACTTCAATGGGGCCAAGATTTCACCACAAAGGACTTGAACTGAGTTCTCCAGGGATGAAAGACTACTTGCACTGATACATTAGGCCACCTGGTACACAAGAAAGCAGATTTTTTTTTAAATAAAAACTTCTTTATAGTAAGATCTATGACTTTTTAAACCACCTTGTCCCACCTACTGTAGCAAAAGCAGACTTTCCTTTCAAATGTAATAGGTTAAATTGGTTCCCTCTACATTAACACCAATCAATGGAGAGACAAAGGCATTGTAAATATGACCTTTTCAAGTCATTGATTGTATAACTTTGCCACTGTTGTTACCATATAAAACAAAGTCATACAAATTATTATTATTATTATTATTTATTATGTAGACATAAAGGTAGAGAAGCATTTTAACTGGAATTGCGTGTCTATTATGTCTGCTTTTTGTTGGTGGTGCATAAGCATCAGATCTGAGTAGGATTATCTTGCCTTTATCCTTACCTCTATGGAGTTTTCAAAGAGTAGTCTTGGAATGGTAGTTGTTGTTTTTTTGCCTGAGTCGTGTGGACACAGCTGTTACAGAAGATAAGGCTCTACACTTACCTCTTCCGCAAACAGAGATCCCGTGATCCAAGAACTTTAATACTAACTACCTCTGTAACCTTTGACAAAGAACATTCCTTGTGGTCTTCTAGATAGTAATTGTGTCTTCTCTAAATACATTTCCAGATCTGACAGACCATATTTATATGTTTTCTGTAGATTGCTATTTGAAGCACCAAAGCCTGTGTCTTAGTATTTTAACTCATCAGTGTAACCTTTTTTGTAGATAAGACCATAGAGGTCTTAATAGATAGCACATAGTTTGTCAGAGAATTTTTCATGCTATCTTAGGAAAACAAGAAAATGTATATCATCAACCTATAATTCATTTTGAAGTATATGTACATGGATTTTCACCAGATCCAAAAATTCACCCTCTCGCCTTATTTTAAAAAACATGGAATGAGTTCATTATCAGCCATTGCATCTGGAATGTGGTAAACCAAACACATTCCAATTTATCTCCAAAGACAATAAAGGGGTGTGGGAATTAAAGAACTTATTTTGTAACTTTACTGGTGAAATTTTAGGGTATCTATTGTCAAATTAGAGAAGGTGTTTGTAGAGGTGTTACTAGAAAAGGAGGTGTTTTCATCAGTAGCTTGTAAGTCTTGATAAAAATCGTAAAAAACCCCCAAAACATACTTTGGCATACTGCATTTTATGAAGTGAGCAAATTCTCTTATGCCACGTGTGAAAAAAAGGAATTGTGCTGAAATGTGTACTGGACTCAACATGTGCTTCAATTCAAATTCTCTACATAAGGTAATTGATTAAAGAAATACAACGATGTTCTATTGTCAAGCCTGGAAGGATCTGAACCAAATCATAGTACATCATCCTCATCATCAAATTCAACACAATATTTTAGCAACAAACAATTTTTCCTGACTGCAGCTTCCTTAATTATGCTATCAGTTGAGGTTTTCACGTTCCCAGACCAATGCTAGCCGGCTTTGTGCACATTTGTTCAGGTTTGCTTGTATTTTTTGTTTCACTCTAACCAGAAACTCCAACCCAACACCTGGCTTGGTGACAAAATCTATAGCCAGGCAACTTTTGCTTGCTTTTGGTTTTTTTGGGGGTAAATACTTAACTCTCGTTTTCACAAACACAAATCATTTCTGAGTTATCTAACAGAGACCAATTTACAATACAGCTGCAGGGATGATGTGATGGGGAGGGGTTATTTGTTGTGCATTTAAGTAAAATGTTTGTAAACTTTAATGGCCTGGTTCTCATTTCATAGAATCATAGACTTTAAGGTCAGAAGGGACCATTATGATCATCTAGTCTGATCTCCTGCACAACGCAGGCCACAGAATCTCACCCACTCACTCCTGTATCAAACCCCTAACCTATGTCTGAGCTATTGAAGTCCTCAAATCATGGTTTAAAGACTTCAAGGTGCAGAGAATCCTCCAGCAAGTGACCCTGCCCCAGGCTGCAGAGGAAGGCGAAAAACCCCCAAGGCCTCCGCCAATCTGCCCTGGAGGAAAATTACTTCCCGACCCCAAATATGGCAATCAGCTAAACCCTGAGCATGTGGGCAAGACTCACCAGCCAGACACCCAGGAAAGAATTCTCTGTAGTAACTCAGATCCCACATCCCATCACAGGCCTTTGGGCATATTTACCGCTAATAGTCAAAGATCAATTAATTGCCAAAATTAGGCTATCCCATCATACCATCCGCTCCATAAACTTATCAAGCTTAATCTTGAAGCCAGATATGTCTTTTGCCCCCACTGCTCCCCTTGGAAGGCTATTCCAGAAGTTCACTCCTCTGATGGTTAGAAGCCTTTGTGTAATTTCAAGTCTAAACTTTCTGATGGCCATTTTTTATCCATTTGTTCTTGTGTCCACATTGGTACTGAACTTAAATAATTCCTCTCCCTCCCTGGTATTTATCCTTCTGATATATTTATAGAGAGCAATCATATCTCCCCTCAGCCTTCTTTTGGTTAGGCTAAACAAGCCAAGCTCTTTGAGTCTCCTTTCATAAGACAGGTTTTCCATTCCTCGGATCATCCTAGTAGCCCTTCTCTGTACCTGTTCCAGTTTGAATTCATCCTTTTTAAACATGGGAGACCAAAACTCCACACAGTATTCCAGATGAGGTCTCACCAGTGCCTTGTATAACGGTACTAACACCTCCTTATCTCTACTGGAAATACCTCGCCTGATGCATCCCAAGACCGCATTAGCTTTTTTCATCCATATCACATTGGCGGCTCATAGTCATCCTGTGATCAACCAATACTCCGAGGTCCTTCTCCTCCTCTGTTATTTCCAACTGATGTGTCCCCAGCTTATAACAAAAATTCTTGTTATCCCTAAATGCACAACCTTGCACTTTTCACTATTAAATTTCCTCCTATTACTATTACTCCAGTGACTCCAATGTATCTCCAGGTTTCACCACTCTGGCAGTGTAATTAAATTTGTGACCACTTTCCGATCCATTCACACTGCCAAATGGGTGTAAATGGACCTTCGTGTAAATGAGACACAGTCAGGCCTTAAGTGTTTCTGTTTCCCAGTATATCCACTGAAATAAAATCACATTTCCTTTTTGCTTTCAACCCATTTCCCTTGAAGTCTTTACCAGCGGAAACATGAATGAATATCTCCACGTGTGACCCAACTTGATTTTCAAAGGCGCACAGTCCCCCTCTATAAATTTTACTATTGTTTTTTTGCTATGTACCATGCTGCTGTTCTTATCTGATTAGTGGCTCTGTTATTTATCACTTCACAATTAATTCAGGTTTCAGAGGGGTAGCCGTGTTAGCCCATGAAAGCTTATGTCCAAATAAATTTGTTAGTCTCTAAGGTGCCACAAGGACTCCTTGTTGCTTTCACAGTGAATTGTTGCTCTTGTAATCTCAAGAACTGAGGTGTTTTTTTTTTTTTTCCACTTCAGAAAACCAGATACAGGTCTGTAAGACAGTGCTCATGGACTCACCTTTTGTATTAGTAAAGTTTCTACTAGTTCTAGAATTTTCTGTGGTTAGAGAAGATTGGATTAAGTTAGACATAAAAAGGTCAGGAAAAGGACTTCCTCCCTAATAAAATTAACATCTGCAGCCAGGGCCGGCGCTTCCATTTAGGTGACCTAGGTGGTTGCCTAGGGCACCAGGATTTGGGGGGGGTGGCATTTTGCCGCCTTTGGCGGCAATTCGGCGGCGGGGGGTCCTTCCACGCTCCGGGTCTTCGGCGGCAATTCTGCGGCGGGTCCTTCACTCGCTTTGGGACCCGCCGCCGAAGTGCCCCGAAGACCGGGAGCACGGAAGGACCCCCCACCGCAGAATTGCCGACGATGACCGGGAGCGCGGAAGGACCCCCGCCTAGGGCGCCAAAAACCCTGGCGCCGCTTCTGTCTGCAGCCTATAGGGAGGTGTTACATTTCAAAACACTGCCTGTTTAAAATCCACCTAGTTCAAGCAGCAGCCCTCCATATGGGTACGCTGTCAAAGCTGGGCATGACGTTGTTCTGGTTCCTGAATTTAAAAGATCCACTGGAGCCGGCAACTAAAGAAGGCTTGACATGACCTCTAAGAAAAGAGACAAGCTTTCCAGTTGCAGTGGTGAATTTATACACATTGTGAAAGCGAGGCTCCTGCCCTTTGACTGCTTTTGTTGTCTGAGAATAAAACCCAAGGGCCTGATCCTAG